ATCTAATTGTTCTGAAAGACTGAAAATAAATTTAGAAGTGCTTGCTCAACTACAGAAATTTCCTAGTATGCTACAGGCGTAGAGAATAGGGATATGAGAGGAGCAGGAGGAGGAGGAGGAGGAGGAGGAGGAGGAGGAGGAGGAGGAGGAGTCTTTAAAATCACAGTTTTATGAATGATTGGCTTCTGGTTGTCTAGTGACTCCACTTCTAAGGATGGTGTATTATTATACCAGTTTTGGAACTCAGAAGCTGGCCTAATTCCTCTCCATTTGTGCTGATGAAAAAAAATGTTTAAAATGAAAGAAATAAAATAGGGGTGAGATCAACCATAAATAAATCAAAAGTGTCCATTCTCACTTTTGACAGGAGGACTCTGATACACTTACGAAACTTGTGATATTAGATCTGCCCTCACTCCCCAACCAAGAAGCCACTTGCTGCATTTTGTTATGAGCTGTCACTATTTCCAACATTGGTTTGCCACTGTGGCACTATTAGCCATCACATTCAAAACAGAAAATATAACCTTTGGAAGTAGGAGGAGAGGGCAAAGGTAATAAGTCTGGTCTATTTAGAGTGCTACTTTAGCATGCTATCATCTTGTCTCTGTTACTTTCCCTTAAATCTAGAATGGTGCAAGCTCTTGCATTTAGGCTGGAGCAGTCAGCATGATAGAAAGACTTAGCTCACAAACTTTTACAAACAAAAATATGGAAATAAAGGGCATGGATATAATTGATGAATGCATGTCATTTCTTCACTCCCAATGATTTTATAAGCCTTAACTATGAATGCACAATTCCCTGATTTGGAACCATAGCAAAATTTTTAGCAGAATCTAAATATCCCAAATATCCACTTTTGCTCAAACTACTTTCATGGAAAGGAACAGGCTTGTATGTCTTCCAAATGGAATCTTCCAGAAGTTGAAGAGTGTTGTTATATCCCTGAGCTGCATGTAGTATTTTGGTGGTTCCAAGATGGTACAGTCCTTGGTGGGATTAGTAAAGTGAGGCACATATGTAGACCTGCACAGGTAGAAGAAATGCTGTTTTGGGGCTCTTTGTTTTTTTCCAGACAATGTTGGAAGGAGAGGAAAAGGTGCATCTGGTAAGATATAAAAGAGCTGGAGGTCCTCATGAAGATCTTTTCCCATACACTAAAGCAGAGCAATGTGGTACCCCTTCAAAGGAGGGCTTCATTCCTGCCCTTGTCTATCCAGGAAGCAATGGAAGACTTGGTAGATTAGGGTGTTGGTTATTTGCTGGCCAGGAAAAGGAAAAGGAAGAAGGTGCTGTTACCTTCTTTTCCACCCTATGGTGAGAATACTGACCCAGAAGCACAAAGATCAAGTTATGATTTGGGGCTATGCCCCTCCAGACCTGTAACACAGAAGCAAGGGGGTTGTTTAAGATCAGAGTACTAAGAGGAATACAAGATGGTGCGTGGGGGAGGGAGATGGGGGAGGATGAGGTTGTTGTGATGATTCTCTAGTGTGGTTAAAAGAGCCAGATGAATACTTCTTTCCTCATTATCTTGTGAGCTCACTAAATCCAGAAGAAGCAAAACCTGGAATTGGTGATGTAAATCGGTGTTTTTTTAACATGTATGGACTTCAACTCCCAGAGTTCCATCAGCCTGATTGGCTGGTGAATTCTGGAAATTGGAGTCCGTGCATCTTAAAAGTTTCCAGGGTAGAAAAGCACAGCCATAGATAATGAAAAAAATGTGTTTTGGAACATTGTACCCTTGGCAGTTGCATGGCATCATTAGAGGCTTGGTTGTTATCCTCCTCAAGACTATGCCACTGCTTTATAACAACCCAACTCAATAAAAGTGGTCTTTTATTATGAATACCAAGGTGGTGAGTGATAGTTAACATACTGTTTTCCCAGTGTAGGAGCAAAATAGACACTGCATGTTTTATATTTTGAAAGAACATGGTTCCTCTTCCTACCACTGATATTAGGTCAGACATATAGCAGCCATTTCATAACTTTAAGTTTCTAGAAACTGTAAAGTTTCAAAAATAAATAAACGTAATGGAAACCCCGTGAACCGTAAGATTTTTTTTAAAAAAATATGAGGGCCAGGTAGTAACCTGTTCTCACATCTTTTGAGTTGAATGTCCATTTCTAAACGAGAGCAAGGGTGCACACAGGCTGCATTTTGCTCTCGCCTGGATTTTAGGGGCTCTGTCTCCACTGCACCATCAAATTTTAACAACATTTGCTTGCTGGAATTTGGCCTCACACAATTTGAAAGGGGGAGATTTTAATAAGTATAATTCCTTGTCAGATGGTATGCCTAACTGGTTTTATCCCTGATTTTTATTTTCTTTTTTCTGAGCCTTTCTGATTGTTACGTCAAAATCTTCACTGATTAAGTGCAGCCATGTCATTAAAAAACAAAGCAAATTTGCACCAAGTTACTTGCTCTGTTTATACAGAATTATTAACAAAAGCTACTGTGTGTTGTAAATAATATAGAAATATTCAATTATTTTTTAACTCAAATTTGCTTCAAAAATCCAATTTTTTTTCAGAATATGAAGAACTCAGTTTATGGTTATCACACTTTTCATTATTATTATTTTATTCCACAGACATTACTAAGTTGATGTTCCACCACCCGGTTACCACTGGTGATAAATTTAGGAATGAATTGGCTTATTTTTTAAAAAAAAAACTTTCTGAAACTAACATTTAAATATACTTCATATAAAATTATCCAAGTCTTTGTTCCAGATTTTTATTTATTGATTCCATATCTCCCAATATAACTAACATAAATCTCTTTAGAATTGAATCTTACTACTTTCTGGCAGAAGAATGAATTTTGAGTTACTGGTAATATCAATTATAGAATTAACATTTGAAATATACTTTGGGAAAAGTTGAAGGATCTTATACAGTGAAAACTTGTGAACTTATAAAAAAATAAAGGAATAATTAATGTTTAGTCTTTTCCAACAAAAAGTTAAAAAGGTTTATTTAAATATCTGAATGTCTTAGGTCCTGTATTTCATAGGACTGTGTCCTTTTAATACATATTGGGGGAAAATCAAATATGTGCCATATGACTATTTCTTCTTTAAAAATAAATCTATTTGTTTCCTAAAAAGAACCCTTGGAAGATCTACCTTTAATACATGAATACTTTTATTATGTTGGGAAGATTTAGTTCATACTGAAAGGCACTTATCTGCTGTACAATACAATCCATGACTAACAATGAAAACAGAAGTTATATTATTCCAATATAGAAAAAGAAGTGCTTTTTAGATGTTTTTTCCTCCAGAAAACTAACTTGGTAGTATGCCAGTAATACAAACCTTTTCATTATATAAGTCGCTAATGTTTAAATCAGTTAAATGTAGTTGACAATCTTTTTTGCCATCCCCAATATTCTGGCTCTTTTAAGCTTTCAAGGAAGAATGGCACCATGAAATGGGAACAATGCCAAGCAAGCAAGCAACCAAATGACATTCAAGAAAGTAATCCACAATACACAGAGCAGCAGAAAAGCATGGGTGTGTGTCGTATAGCATATACTGGGGCAGACCATCTTCCCCAAGTTCTTCAGAAAGGAGAATTTTCATAAGGCAAGATACAAGATCTCCATTTATTCATTAGCATGATATAATCACCCTACATGTAGACACATCAAAACGGTTCTAGTCAATCTTCTGATGATTCAAGTGATATTTTTCTCTTCTTAAGTAGGCTTTTATATGCACTGTTTCGACATGAAGAATATGGATATTTTGGTCCCCACCTCATAAACTGGATGAACTGCAGCCAGTGAATGTACATAAACCAAAGCCCTACCCTATTAGTGCCATACAATTGTTAAATGGGCCTTTTCTATTCTACAGAACTTAGACTAAAACTATGCAAAAGGATCATTATTGTTATTATTTTCATAATCATAGAATTAATTATGCTGTTTAATTCTTTTTCTGGTGGCCACTTTTCCATTCAAAATTGCAAATGAACAGCATGTGCTTCATTGGCAGTGGGGAATCCCTAATTTCTAAATGCCACCTATAAACATGTATTTTGGAACTTTAAAGAACACAGGAAATGTAACCAAACATTTGTGAGTCTATGTATGCACTCCAAGACGTTTTAGCAGTTACACCAGGCTTTGTGCATCTATTTCAACTTAGAAGCAGATTCAATCAGCTGTATCTCCTTTTAGATTCCTTTCAGATTCCTGGGAGTCTTAGTTATACCTCAGGACTGCAGTAACTCTTAGGGTTCCCCGACATGGTGAACTCCAGGTATCTTTGAACTATAGATTCCAAAGCTGGCTGGGAATTCTAAGAGTTAAAATTAAAACACTCCTTAAGTTTTAGAAAGCTGTTTTATAATATAGCTTAATGCTTATTATTCAGCGCTGTATTTACCTTCTTCTGTAACAGAATGTGTGTAGGCCCAATTAAAATATACCCTCTCCTTGGCAATATAAGTGTATATTATATTGTATACATGTGTAGGTGGAGAGGTCCTTGCAGAGATGTGTTGAGGTCTTTTGCATTTCAAAATTAACACAGTTCACTGCAAACTGTTTCTATCTGCGAAAACGTCCCACTGTGAAAATGATATAGTAAAATCCTGTGTTGACTTTACCATAACATGAAATAAAGGATTGTTACTTGGGCCTTAAACTGGAGAAAAATTAATTCCCAGCCCTATCATCCAGTGAGCAGAACCAGGGGTTCATTAGATGCCTGGATAGAACACCTGCTGCCATTTACTTATTCACTAGATATCTCCTCACGATAGCAACTGAAGAAATGGAGAATGAGTGGATACTGATGGATGTGTGGAGAGAACTGATGGCACAGAGGAAATTCTCTCCGTTGAGACAGGCCTCCACGAGAGTTCTGGGCCTTCTGCACCAATGATCATTGCAAGCAGCAAGAGTGGGGAGAAGCGATGAGGAGGATGGGATGAAGGCGGTAGGTGATGGAGAGATGTGCTCAGGGAAGCTGTTACATGCTTTGCTGAGCTGGGTCGTACCTTCCTCTGCGAATGTTCCTTTGCAAGCCGAAGAGAGAAAAGGAAAGAGAGAGGAGGAGCAGGGGTTAGCAGATAACTTCAGCTGTACATCTTGGCCTGACTGCCTTCAGTCTTCGTGCCACATGCTATGGTTGGTAATGCAAACTAGCCTAACATGCAATTTCTTCTTACCATCCAGGACAACTTTTGTGCAGAGATCCAATTACCATCATCGTTGGAGAACTCCATTAGATCATGTAGCTCCTGTCAGAACTTAAAGGGAGGCTGGAAATATCACAAAGAAGAGCACCTTCATTTCACTCTCCCCTGCAGCACATTCTCCGAGGCACGTGGGCCTCACGTTCCTAGTCTGTGTTAGCCTGCATCTCTTCTGGAAATACTACATGTCAGTGTTGTTTGCTTGTTTTAAAGAAAGTTTACTTGTAACTGCACACCAAGAATACCACATGTAGAACTAGAGGGAATGTAGAAGCTGCCAGGGAAAGGGGATTTTCTGCAGGGCAGAGGTCCTCCATTTTCCTTATCCTTCCATTAAGTTCCCTCTGCTACTTTTTTCATTCCTTGTATCACCTTTCCCAACAGATGGTAAAAATAAACCAATGACGAAAGAACTCAAATTTTGCAACCAAAACAACATTCCAAATGCCTGGCACTCATGTGATTAGGGAAGCAAGAAAAGTTATTTGTGATTCCAGAACTGTTACAGACCTAAGAAACCAAAGTGATTATTCTGTCTTTGCCAAAAATTGAAGGTGCTTTCCTCATCTTCATTCCTCAAACGTCTCCTTCCTTCCAGCCTCCCAAACTGTGATACTAAGGAATTTATATTCCACCCACCCCCCAAAGCAACAGGCCAACCCATACAACATGTCATACCAGCAATAAACCCTGCAAGGAAGCAAGAGATCTTGGGTGGGGGGTCCAAGTGGGATACAGTTAACTTTATAGGATTACCTCAAACTTTTGTTATGAGCAGAGTATCCAAAGCAGCTTCTCCCACTTCTTATGCATTAAATATATTGGATGACACTCATATCATCTCCTACCAATAAGCTGAGAATAGTGGAAGTATAGTTTAAGACTGGGTTTTACAAGGCTGCTTTGGGGGATGGAATAGATATTTAAGGACTATTGTTCCCCACTCCACCTCCATGCCAATGTCCCCGTCACCATCAGTATCTGATTCATGCAATCCCAGGTCAGGCGCTCCTTCATTCATGCAAGTGTCAATCCATGCAAAACATAACAGGAAGCCTGATGTGGATCAGAGAGGAACAATAGCCACCCCCAGTCAGTCTGCAGCTCTCCCCATTTCTCTCCCATTGCTGCTTTTCTTTCCCAAGGTGAACTGCTTCTCCTGCAAAATAGTTCTTCTCCTCACTAAGCCAAGAGTATTAACCAAACTTCATGAACTAAAAACTAAATAGCACTTTTACCAAGGCCAAAAAAAAAAAAACCCTCGAGATCCTTGGACCCACTTCTTTCACAGTGATTCTGCAACCAAATCTCATAGATGAAACTGAAGGCCATTCATTCGTTAAACTGACAGTTTGAAAGAGGACATGTGTGACCCAATTCAAAGCAATGTCAATTATAAATACAACAAGAATAGAAAAGGTTCTGGCTGAACTTTCATAAACCAGCAACATTAATATTTAGGAAACTGGTGTGTGGGTGTGGGGAGGGGGAAGTAATGAGAACAAACAATGAATCAACGAACACCTAGAGGCAAACAAAGTCATTACTAAAAGCCAACATGGGTTTGTCAAAAATAGATCATGCCAGACAAATCTTATTGCATTCTTTGACCAAGTGACAAAATTAGTGGATGAGAGGAATGCTGTGGACATAATTTACTTGGACTTCAGTAAGGCATTTGATAAAGTACATCACAACCTA